GCTGGTGGAGGTGTCATAGGCTGTTCAGTGGCTTACCATCTTGCAAAGCTTGGATGGAAAGATATTTTACTTCTGGAACAAGGAAGGTATGTGGATAGAGAAAATTATGATGATGCACAAAATTATAAATATGACTTTGTTTGATGGTTATTACAAACCATACGTCTGTGAAATACTACTAACTACTGTAATTAGTCACAAAATAGCACCAAAAAAAGGAAAACAAAAGAAATAGATGTGCTATTTAGTTTTTGTCCTATTTCAGGGATATATGGTTTTATAAAATAATTGTTACGAGTGTCGAGTTCTGATTGGCTTGGAGCACATGCTTTATGAGAGCACATTGCACGCGCTCACACTTTCTGTTGCATCATTCCTATTGTAATTTGTATTTCATAAAAGTAATAAAAACTTTTTGTGCTTTTTAAAACTTTTTAACTGCTTTTTGTGCTCTGTGCTGTTATAAAGCACTTAGAGATTGGCAGAACACTTGAGAAGTGTCCAGAAGCACTTTGGTATGCGTCATGCTTCTCCTTGTGTTCTGCTAACCCCCGTGTACTTCATGACAGCACACAGCACGCCCGCATGTTTTCTCTTTCTTCAATATCATCCATCCATCCATCCATCCATCCACCCACCCACCCACCCATCCATCCATCTATCCATCCTTCCTTCCATTCATCTCCCTGTCCATCCTTTTATACATCCATTCATAGGTTCAATCATCTTGCTTACTACAGTATTGACAAGTTGTATTTATATTAATTTTTTAGTGTGAGTGGAGGTACGACATGGCATGCAGTAGGATTGCTCACCAAACTAAGGGGAACAAGACTAGAAACCTACATGTGTGATTATGCTGAAACTCTTTATAAAAGACTAGAAGAAGAGACAGGTTTGCAATCAGGTAACCAGAAATAACTTAGTCCACGGTTACTGCAATTTTCATAAACATGCAAACTCTGTGTATACAAGCTGCACACTAAAATTTGGATTTTCGCTGGCATCAATCAAACCTAATCAGTAGGCAAAAAAACAAATTGCAGCATGCAGCTCACAGACACAGAGTTCTCATGTTAATGAAAATTGCAGTAATGGAGGGATCGCTTCAATGTACTATACTGGCATACTATCAAAGCATATCTCGGAAGTGGACTATTTAGAAGGATCCTGCACCCTGGTGAAGGATTAACCAAAGGGATTTTAAATTTTGAGGTGCATCATTCATTATTCTGTTTTAGGTTTCAAGAAATGTGGTGGTTTACTTATAGCTAGAAGTGATGACCGACTGAC